AACATTTGGCAAAACAAAAAAATTGATGGATAACATATATATTAGACTTCATTCCAATACAAAATGGATACAATGTCTACGACATTGATACATTATTAGTATTCTTTTTTTTTCTTTTTCTTTTTTTTGTTCCTCATTAGCTTCGATATTCGATTTGTTGTTGTTGTTGTTGTTGTTGGTTTGTGTGCAATCGGGTAAGGTTGTCGTTTTCTTTTTTTTTACTTTTGTTAGAGTTCCATTCATTCATTTATTTCCATTTTATTTCGAATGAACATCATCATTCATCAATCTTTCAATGTTCATTTATTAAAGCAAAAAAAAAAGAAGAATAAAAAAAATTATTTCCATATTTTTTCAGGCAAAAAAAACTGAAATAATAATGCAACTGCTGTATTATTGCATCAAATAAAATCGAAAGAAAAGAATCAAAAAAAAAGATATATATTCTTTTCTGGTTATATAATATATACATGCACATTGTGTCCATTTTTTTCCTTTAGTTATTTATTGAATGGAACAAATTCGAGATCGATCGATCGATCGATCCAAAATCTCATCTACAACGATAGTGATCAGAATAAATGAGAAAAAAAAAATTTCGTTCCCCTTTTTTCCCATTCAATGATCAACAACAACAGAACAGATGAATTACCGTAACATACACTACAAAATGGATCAGGAAAAGTATGGAAACAAATGAACAATGTGAAAAAAAAACAAAATTTTGGAATAAAAGCATTACACGCACACACACACATCAAGTATTTCTATTTTTGGCGGACTTTTGAATAATAATAGTAATGAAAAAAAAACGAATGACTGAGTTATTTCGATTTCTCTCTCCTCTCTCTCTCTCTGGCTGTCGCTTTTCAGTTTTTTTTCCTATCGATAAACGGTTTCGATTGTGAGATATCCATTCGATTTGAATTTAAATTTTTAAATTTGAATTTAAATTTTTGGAAGAAAATTAATTTTGAAACCAAAAATTCAAATCGAAAAAAAAATCACATCACGGTAAACATCATTATTTTGTTTTTGTTTTTGATAATCAAAATCAAATTGATTTCTTACCAATTTTCCATCATCATTATTCAATGAGAATAAAATACAACAACAACAACAACAAAAAAGAACAATCTTAAGATAAAATGAAATGATTTGAGATTAGAGGATTTCAATCCTGAACGACAACAGCAAAAAATATATAAAGATTTCGTTTTAATGTGTGTGCCGAAATTCAATTGAATCAAATGAAAAAATAAAGTTGATGTAATCTATTTCAATCCAAATAATAATAATAACAAGCCAAATGATGAAATGTAGTTTTATCTAATTTTTGCATGATTTATTTCTTTATATTTATTGATTTATTTTCCTTATTTTTTTCACATCAAGTTTATCAATGATCTTTTTCTTCTTCGTCTTTTTCTTCTTGAGAATGAATGAATGAATGATTTCGAATAGCCATTTTGATCATCAAAGTCGTTTCGTTTCGTTGTTGTTGTTGTTGTTGTTGATTCAATTTACTTTCACAAAAACAAAACAAAACAAAAATAATAATAATAATAAATTTAATAGAAATGCACGATTGATGTTTGATGAATGAATTGAATATATACAGACTGATGAAATGTCGTTTTCATTTGAAATGACCCAAAAAAAATGTATGGATGGATAAAATCACAACCATCATTTCATCAATTTGGATTTTTTTTTCGGGAGAAAAAAAAATTATCATTAAAATCTTTTCAAGTCAATCTTTTTTTTGGATTCAGATTCACTCATAAGTCTAACGTTTACTTATGGTTTTTATTTTTCTGATAAAAATCATGATGTTATTTGTGCGAGTTGTCAAGTTGTGAAAATTTTTCTTTTTGGATCATAATTTTAGATAATATACCATCATCATCATCATCATCATCAAATTATTATCATAATTTTGATCAACAAATTTGATTTTTTTTGTTGTTGTTGTTCAACATCATTATCATACCGAATCAATTAATTCTAAATTGACCGATTGACCTAAACGGAAATTAAAAGGATTTTTTGATTTGACGAAATTGATTAATAATTTTTCATAATTTTCCGAAAAAAAAATCATTCATTAATTATGAATTGTCATTTGAAAATTGTGTTTATATGACAGATGATCTGATGATAATCTGAAACACGTGAAATTTTAAATTATGATGATTTGAACCAATAACAACAACAACAACAACAACAAAAGTCAAGTACACCGTTGTCATTGGTTTTTTTTAACCATTTACAAATATCAATTTTGTTTTCCTATTCAATTGATCGATGACCTTTTTATACTCTGATTTGTTTGTTGCGGTCAAATCACATATAATATTGACCTTAAATTGACCTTGGCCGAAAACAATTTAGCTATTTGTATTTTCAAATTATGATGATTTTGTTCCATATTCAACAACTTTATTCAATTGTATTGACAAAATTATTTTCATTTTTGTTACATTGAATCAAATTGTTCCAGATTTTGACATTTGGTATATAATATGTTCAATGTCAACTTATCATTGACTTATTATAGCCATTATATCCGCATGTTTTAAATACTTTTTTTTTCTTTTCACTGCCCTCTAGGCTAGTTAAATGTAGTTTTTTTCGTTGCTGCTCTCCTTTTTCCTTCCTTTAATTTTTTTTCAATTTTTTTTTCATCGCCATACAATCAATAATAAATTTTTAGTTCACATTCATTGATTGTCAGGATATTCATTGGACTTTTTCTCCAAATTTTTCTCATTTGTTCAAACATTGAATCCTTATTGTTTGTTTGCCTTTCAACACATTTCAACAACAACAACAACAACAAAATCTTTTTTTTTCCTGAAAATATGTTTTGAATTTCAAATGGGTGTTGAAAAATCTTTTTTTTTTCTGGGTGTTTACGGATTTTTCTCACACACACACTCTTCTGATCTCTAATCTATTTTCTATTTATTTTCTTTGTTTTCTCACCCTCTCTTTTTGCGATGGCGAGACAACAAACAACAACAACAACAACAACAACAGTGAAAACATGCGGCATGGCTTCATACAGTGTTTTTTTTCCTTCCCTATTTGAATCATATATTGTTGAATACAATAGAGATGTCATCTTCATCATCATTGTCATCAATGTCTTGAGGCTATCCTTATAGTACACATTTATAGAAAGTTTTTTTTTCTTTCTTTAACATTATTCTTTTGAATTGTGTGTATTTTGTGATTATGTCAGTGTGAATAACAGGATATATGAAAAACACAATAACAAGTAGCAAATAATAATAGTTTTTGGTGACAAACTTTTTTCTTTATTCTTTTACATTTTTCCAATATGGACCAAAAAAAAAAACAAAAATCATATACCGTACATCATTCATCAAATAATGGAACACAAAAGGAAAAATTAATGAAAAAAAAATTGTTGAAATGTTTTTTTATATATATATTTTATTTGAAAAGTTGTCATTATTTGATTGGTTTGCTTGTTATATACTCTGCCAATGATAATGATGTTTGATTTGTTGATGATTTTATAAATTTTTTGACATTATTTGCATCATCCTCCATACTTCATGACCTAATTTTTTGTTTTGTTTCTTAGTTTATATTAAACATAAGAATATTTTAAGTTGTCAAAATTAAATATATATGTGTTTTATGTGTGTGTAGGCAATGATGATTTCCGTTTCATGTCTGTCATTAGAAAAAAAAAGTCGTATAAAAATCAATTAAGTTCAATAAAATTGAATATTTAAATGATGTACATTAAAAAATCAAAATTCTTCATTAGATGTGAATTTGAATATACAGTGTTACATTTTTTAAATAAAAATTTGATGAGAATCGATTGATTTATCAAATGACAGTTCCCTTCCCTCCATTTGTAATTTTAATGAATTTTCATTCGATATTCACATCATCATTATTATTATCATCAGTACATTCAATTCGTTCTCATCATAATAGTTTACATTATTTTTCAAATTCATTATTGTAATGTAATATTTTTTCCCCCTTTGACATCATTATTATGTTCAATCCAATTGATAGTATTTTAAACAATCACAAAGTTCACAATGTTATTATGATATAAATATTTTTTAAAATAGAAATTTGTTATGGTTTTTTTACTTTTTTCTCTAATGAATGTATATATAACATATATGTGTATATTGAATTGGGATTCATTCCGAATTGATCCGATTAATTGATGATTAGCAATTTGTTTCTCATCATTATAACATTTGGATTATCACGGTAACATCATCATATCACCGTTGATGACCGACCACCATCAATGTTATAAACATCTTTTTTTTTCTCACTCTGTTTTTTTTCGTGGTCAGATAAATGTATGATAATGATAAGATGTATAAATTTTTTTTTCTTTACAAAATAATCTTTTGATTAATTATAAATATATTGGTTAAGTGGTGGGTAATCACTAAATGTTTATTGTCAAGAAAAAATAAGAAAAATTTAAGGATCATAATCAGACGACGGAAATTCGCGAATTAACTAGATCAATTCTTGTGATGAAAAAAAGAGAAAAAATAAATAAAGTTTAAAATTAAATATATTTTTTTTTGTTGAACTTGTTCATCATTTGATTGATAGGCAAATGAGAATCTTTTCTGACACAGAAACACACACGAACGCACACAAAGAAGATCCTTGTGATAAATAGTTTAGTAGTGTTATTGTAATGAATAGATTTGAAATCTTGAAATCTTGAATTTGGATATTTTTATGACTTTTTTACTTCTTTTTTTTAACCAAATGTATGTCATAATTTTTTGGCCAATGATATATGTTTGTTTATGATTCAATGTGTATGTGTGTGTTATTTCCAAATGATTCCATTCAAAACCAAGTTCTAATATTTATTGTTTTTTTTCTTTTCTCAAATAGGTATGTGACAGGTTATTCATCATCATCATCATATTGACAATTATCATTATGTTAATAACTAATTCAGATATGTCGTGATTCATTGATCATTACAGCACTGTCATCCATTGAAAACGATAAGAATCTTGATTTTTTTTAATGTGTTTGTATATGTAAATCATAGATATTCTTTTTTTTTGATTATTTCATTAATGTGACGCCCAACGTGGCGACATTATTTGATATCATCATCATCATCTTATTCAATACAATTTGATTATTATCATCATCATCAATATCATTCATAATCATGTATTTATTAATTACAAAAACAACATCATCATCATCATTATCATCATCATCATCATCAAAAACAACAACAACATCATTATTCGTATGGCTGTTAAGTCAGATATTATTTGGCCAATTACAAATGGCCATGTTGGTACATGCTACTGGTGGTACCTGGATGTAAGTTGATTTTTTTGTTTGTTTGTTTTTTTTAACAAGAACAAAAAGAAGTGAAAATCTCCTTTTCAATATTTATATAAATGTCGTATGAATAAAATTATAGAATTTTCAAAAAAATCAAATCAAATCAAATCAAATTATCTCTGAAGCAAAGAGCAAAGAATGATAATGTTTTCGACCACTAAATGTTTTTTTTATATATTTTCTTTTTCATCAATCTCTTAACAATTTGATTGCATTGGATATAATGATAGAATTATATCGTGATCACCTTCGGGCTATATATAAATTCATGAACTTGTTTTTTTTTTGGTTCATCAATTTCGATGTTCGAAAAGAAATCGAAATGTTTTGAAATAAATATAAAAAAAGCCAACAAAGCAATTTTAGTCCAACAGCAAAAAAAATGTTCGATTTCTAGAACAATCAATGTGAATTTTTCTTGATCACAAATAAATAAATTTTCTGACAAACAAAAATTACACGCATTATTACAGACATTATGATCGGGTGCAATAAAATCTTCAATAGTATCATTATCAATGATGTAAGTAGGTAATGAAATACATTGATTTCAACAGCCAAAATGATTAATACTGATTATGATCATTATAAATATATATGATGATGATCATGATTACCGAATAAAAAAACAACAACATATTACTAGCCTCGAAACAAAACAAGAAAAAATTCAATATCATTTCATCGACTGTATACACCAACTCACAATCAGTGAAAATTATTTTGCCAAAATTGCTTATTATTATTTATAATATATAAGGATGATTATATAATTACGATGTTTCATACGCACAATGATGCTACCGAAATGAAGAACAAGAAGAAGAAAAAAAAACAAAAAATATTGATTCATTCAATTTTTGCTGTTGTTGTTGTTGTTGTTGTTGGATTCATTGGTCAATCATAGAACTAATAATAATCAAAATCATCAATATAAGAAAAATCATTGTTGTTGTTTCCTATCTCTTCAATAATAGATTAGATTTAATGATCAATAATCATTTTTTTTTGTTTCTCTTCTTGAATTATTCAATACTTTAATAGAAATAATCATTATAGATATTATTCATGACATGTAAAATGTTAAATATAATGATAATTTATTGAACAATCAAACATCAGAATCAAATCAAAAACAATATGATTCATTGATTCTTTCTTTCTATTTTTTTCCCTAACCAAGTAATCATCATTATTTATTGTGCTTTTTTAGTATTCAAATCAAATCATACATATGCATTGTATAATCATAATTACATAATCAGAATGTATTTGTTATGTAAAATATGGCTACATACATGATTCTTTTCTTTTTTCATACAACAAAAACAAACAAAAAAAATGAATGATTTTTAGCTGAATACCAGTTAAGTTTGATTCTTCTTTTTTTAAAAGTAAAAATTCAATATATGTGTGATGAAAAATGTTATTTTTCTTTTCTGCAAATGAAAAACAATGTTACGTTTCTAAACGAATGAATGATAATCAAAAAAAAAAACAACCAAAATTAAATGATTAATGTCTTTTTTCCGTAAACGTTAAAGGTTTATGTTGAATCAGATAATATTTTTCATGGCAAAAATGCCATTTTTTTCAATTTTTTGTTTGTATGTTCAAATCAATTTAAAGCCTGAAATTGTTTGAAAAAAGTGCGGATTGTTTTTTCTTCTTCTTCTTTCAAATATTATATTATTTTCTGATAAGAAAATTTTTATTTATTTCCATCAGGATTTACTATTCGTTAAACAAAACAAAATATAATCAAAGCATTTCGTCGGAAAGAAGAAAATCTTCATTCTAAACTTTTTTTTTATTTAGTTTTTTTTCGTCAAATGAAATAAAACTTTAAAAGTATTTTCTCATATTGAGTGACTTTTTTTTATGCAATTGAATTTTTTTTTGTTTTGTTTTGCTTTTTTTCGTTCAATTTAAAAAAAGTTTTTGGATTTTCGGCACTTTCGGCAGGTTCTTTTTTTCCTTTGAAATGGAATATAAATTTTTCTATTTCTACAGTAAAAAAAAAAATTTTAAATCGATTGGTTTCAGTTTGAAAATTTTCAAATTGCTTCTTTTTGGTTTGCTCGAATGAATGTTGTTTATCGTTTTTAAAATGTTTATGTGTTTTTTTTCTTCTGTTTGTTTGACCCATTGATAAAATGGATTTAAATGAATTTAAAGGGAAAAAAAATCGAATCAATTAGTTAATCACCAATTTGTTTTTACTGTTTTATTTAAAAAAATTTTCAATGTTTCTTGCATTTGTTTTTGTTTTATTATATTTCAACAATCACAAAATTAGATCATATCAATATCATGATGATGCGCTAAACTAACATCAAACAATCAATAATACATTTATTTGATGAAGATTTTCTTTTTTTTTGTTAGTTTCGTTACGAATTTATTCATTTATTTGCTTTTTGATAAAACCAAATTTCAAGATTTTAAATTGATCAAATGAAAAAAAAAACAAAAATGAAATGACTTATCATCCCTCCTGATTTTTCAACCCCCCATAAAAAATTGCTACATCCATGATATTAAACATCAGGAAAAGATACTACTCTTTTTAATCATTGAAAAAGTTAGAAAAAAAACCGCTCAATTAGATGAATCGATCATTATCATCATCAGTTAAGCATCAGTCACACACACACACACACACACAGTAAAATGAAATAAACTGGAACAATTTTTTTTTGTTTTGAAAAAAAATTTTAAAGTATTTGGTTTATTACGAACATCATCATCGTCATTTAATTCTGTACTAAAAAGATACTGATCATGATGATCAACGAAAAAAGAAAAAAATCTTTTGATGATTTTTTTCCTCATTTTTTTCAGTGTTCACATTTGTCTTGTTCATTTTAGATTTTTGTCTTTCTACCTAATAACTTTTTGACAGAAATCTACATCCGTTTTCTTTTTCACTTCCATTTTGTTGTTGTTGTTGTTGATATAAGTTTTAAGTAAGTTTTTTTTACTAAGCAATCAATTTGGGTGCCATAATTAATTGGTTCATTATCATCATCATCATCATCATTTTTTTGGCTTTACACTAAATATACAAGAAATTTGTTTGTTTCCACTTTTGAAGTATTTTTTTCTGGGCATCCATTTTATGACCCGATTGACAATAATCATTTACCTATCTCTCTCTCTCTCTCTCTCTCTCTCTCTCTCTCTCTCTCAACATGTTACTTTTCGATAGAAAAGCCGATGCTGTATTTATCAAATAACAAAAAGGAAATATTTTTTTTTCAAAAATGGAATGAAAAAAAATTGACAAATTTTTTCAGTTTTTTTTCTGTATACAAAGCAAAAACTGGAATTGTCGGTTTGAAATGTATGTTTTTTTTCTCTCATTCATAATATTCTTGTTAGTTTTTGGTTGTTTGTTTGTTTTTACCGGGTGTGTAAAACATAAATCATAAATTTTTTTCTTCTTCTCGAATAATTGGCAACAACAACAACAACGACGATAGACAAAAAACCGAAAAACATCAATGTTTTCTGCGTGTGTGTGTGTGTTTACCGGTGTAAATGTTGATTTGAATTTTGTTTCATGTTTTTATTTTGTTGGTTGTTATTTGGTTGTTGTTTGGTTTTTTCATTTTTTTTTCACGTAAATTCATAGTGATGATAATGTTGTATCTAATGGCAAGCAAAAAAAAGTTTGTTTCTATTTCGTATCTAGGATATATGTTAGATATATTTTTTTCTGAAGCAAAGATTTCTTTCATTTAGAATCATAATGTTCATTTCCGTATATTTGTGTGGCATATATGTTACAAATATTAAAAAGTTATTAAATGATGATGATAAAACGCATTACGAAAGTACCGATAAAAGCAAGATGAAAAAATTTTCGCAATTCGACACCGATAAATAATATCGGGTAACAAACAAACAAAAAATAGTATGGGGAAGATAATATAACCAAAAAAAATGATGATGATGATAACATTTATGACACATTTTTTGTGTCATAATAAGTGTATGTGACACTTTGTCTCTTTGTGACCCTCTTCATGATCTGAAATCCGGTTTTCATCATCATCATCATCATTTTGATTTGATAATGATTAGGATGATAATGAATGTCGGTGAATAATGATTATGTTGATGAAAAAAAATATTCATATTCTTTGCAAAAAGAACAACAATCAAATTGTAATTTCATGTTTTGAAATCTTTTTTTTTCCAACTGTATTTCCAATTGGTCATTTTTTCGTGAAAATCGTTTATCACAAATATTCAAATCGACACTTGAAATTCGGCCAATTCCATTCAATCTTATCTATTTAACGACAAAAAAAAAAATTTGATTGGTTCAAGTGGTTTTTTTCCTTTTGGAAAAAAGAAACAAAAATATCATATATGAATAGCGATAATTAGTCAAATAATCAGTATACAGACTGAATTAATTTTTTTTTCAAAAATTTTTTGCAATATTAAAATTAGTCGGATGCTTTTATCTATGTTTGAATTTGTTTTTCTTTCTCCTTTCTGATGCTAATTCTCAACCGAAAAAAAAATCGTTTGTAAAGGTGCTAAATCGTCAAAATAAAATGAAAAAAAAACAAAAAATAAATTACGTTGATAATATATATAAGATGCTTTTTTTCATTCCCAGTTCGCTGCTCTTCATATCGGTCGAAGTTGATTCATTGAAAAATGACCATTTTTTTCGCGGTTAAACTTGTTTTGATATTCGATAACATTTATTTGTTGTCAAAATATTTTTTGCAAATAATAACACATTTGATCGATAAACATTTGTTTGAAGGTTTTTTGGAATTTGGTTTCAAAACAAACAAACCAAAATTATTTTTTTTGACTCTTTTTTCTCGACAAAATTTGAGAAAAAAAAATCCATTATCAGTATAATGGACATTATCATCAGTTATTTTTTTTATTTCTTATCATTCCAATTAATAATAATGATATTATCCATGATAAATTTGATAATATAA